GAGAGAGATGCAAGAAGTTGCACTGTATGTATATTGGGATATCAAAAATTTCTAATGACTTGATAATTTAATTATTTACAAACAAAATACCATTACCACCATTTTTTGTTAATGATTTTTTTGTCATCAATGTGAGTCAACCAATAATTGAACTTGATTTTTTGATATCATGGTGTTTATGCAAAAACTAGTTTTCTGACTCATGACTACCACATCTGGCTACAGCCAGTGGTTGATACATAGAAGTGTGAAGTGGAGCTAGCATTTGAAACTTTACAATCATATTCACTGTACATGGTTACATCTGGTGGTAAGCAGCAGTTATTGAGCCTCTAATTGCTTGAACTTTTGTTTTCTCAAACTTTTTGCCCTTATTTAACTCTTTTTGAATATATTTGATACTAGCAATGGAACTTTGCAATCCTATAACATTGTGCCTGGCTACAGCCGACAGTTGTTATAGAAGTATAAGCAGAATATGCTCATGCCTGGCTACAGCTGGTGACTATTCTTGCTTATAAAGGTAACCATTATGATTGCATCTGGCTACAGCCAGCAGTTTCAATGGGCTTTTCATTATCTATAATTTTCAAAGCATTTATTTAATTATCACACTAAGTTTCAATCACATTTTTATTAGTCTATCAAGGTACAGAACGATGCTATCAAAGAGAGAGTATGTGGATCCTAGGCCATTTAATGGGAGTCCCAGCATCATGTTTATTTGCTCTCTCACTTTCCAGGTAAATTCTTACTAATTTTATATGTCTCTTGCTAATTATGAGATTCTCACACCAATACTCTTTTTCTACAATAGATTTCTGAAATAAACTATCCTATACACATCTAAAGAAGTTTTGTTTATCTATATCTCTCCCACACACAGACTATGTAAAATAATTCCCTGCAAGAGAACTTCCTCAAGGTTAAGAAATTTTGAACCTAAGTATAAAATCGGGAGATTAGTAACTGAGGTAAATAAGCAATACAATTGTTCTTCTAGAAGCTAGTTGAGCAATAAAACCACCATACCTTATTATTACTTTATGGATTACATGAGTTCATTTGATTGTAAATATCAACAATGTAAATAATGGTAGTAGGTTAGATTAGTTTGATTAGCTTCGTTTGATTTTTATTTTACTTGCATGAGGTGGATAAAAGGGCTTACTAACTAAGGTTTCACCTTTTATATAATTTGCAGTGCTGATTTATGACCACATCACAAAAATCAAATCATAATAGACACTACCTATCAACAAGGGGACATCATACAAATCATGAACAGTTCATGTAATATATGCTGAAACTTTCAGGAAAAAAGTGATTGAACAGTCCCATAAAAGGAATTGACAGATGAGAATCATGGTAAACCTGTGCAACCTTGAGGCTTGATATCTCCATAGTAACATGATATATCAACAAAATAAAACCATGAAAGGTCTTAGCTTCAAAGTTACAATTTGTTTTTGGTGTTACATTTCCATTTTTGGATGTACTAAGTGATCTACAAGACCAATAAGAAGTTGTGGGGCTAAGTGTCTTGCAACTCAATAAGTTGGACACAAATGGCTGGACATGGTGCCCAACTTATCAAAATATGCAATTTTACAAAAAAAAAAAAAAAAGAAAAATTTGCATTTAAATCATTTATTTATTTACGATAATAATTGAAAAAATAACTATTTAATAAAAAAGATAGAAAAAAATAGCTTTTCTTTATCTAAATAAATATTCATATTAGTTTGTACCAAAGGACTATTACTTGTATATTATTATTCTGTTGCAAGTAGTTATATAGATTTTGAATGCTTCCTAAAGTGATTTTATTAGGTATTGGTTGGCCAATATCTTCTTCCTCTTCTTCTTCAGGTGCTTCTTGAACAGCTGCAATAATTTCATTATCATCAAGCATTTCAGTTCCTAAATCAAAATCAATCTCAATGTAACTTCTTGCCATAATAATATTATCATCATCATTAACATTGATTTCATCAATAAGTAATTGTACTTCATCATCTATTTCAGGATCAACTTCCATAACAATAGGTCAATCAACTTCTTCATTATCAGGTAGAATACCTGTTCTTTCCCAACATCTCATCTATAAATCACATCATCAGCTGCATTTCCCCACGCTTTTGCACTCCAATCAACTGCATTCAAAATGTTTAAAATTGAAATTGGGTTTTACATTTTTGCGAATTATCAAATGCATCTATCCTGTTATGACATAGGAAAAAATATTTTACAAGTGGGAATATTTTTCTTTAAAAAAGGCAATTATGTAATATGTAAAATTCAATTTAAAAAATATAATTACTTTAAATCAATGAATTATGCCCTGATCAATTGGTTGGAGATGAGCTGTCATATTTGATGGAAGAAAATGTAATTAATGTTGCTTAACACTTCACCTTCTTCCAAATGGCACGAAAAAACATCATCAACTAATAATAAAATATTTCTATGTTGGTTGTGCATCTGTTGATAACTTGTGCTAACCTATGATTGGAATATTGAATATTGTATCCATGATGAATTATCCCAATAGTACCACACTGGAAGTGTTTTTTTATCAATATTACAAATACATTTTGGATTTTATACTTATGAATAAATACAGCTGGCAATTTATGAGAACCAGTTGCATTATATGCAAACATTATTATAATCCTAGCTTTAGGTTTTTTTGTGCCAGTGATAGGATCACTAATGAGAGTTTTGTTGGGTTCTAACTTCCAATAGAGGGCAGATTTGTCAGCATTATAAACATCATTCAAGTCATATTCTGCAATTAAAGACTTTTAATTCAGCTCTAAATTCTGATAAGTCATTGATTGGTGCACTTGCTGCTTCACCTGCTTTGTGATGTTCTTTTATGCCTTTTCTTTTTTAAAAATTAGTAAGCCATCTTATTAAAATCAATAGATAAAATGATCAAAAAATTGTTACTTACTTGTGAGGCTGTTAATTTTGAGTCTTCTAGCATAATCCAGTGCCTTTTGACAAATGATGGAACCAGTTATGGTATAATTGACTCTATTGGCATATAATATATCCTACAGTTGATTTACCAATTTCTTCATATTTTTTTTTGAATTAGCAGTATTATATTCACAATTCTTTTTTTTTTTTTGAATATTAGTAAGTGCAACTAATTTTCTTCCTTTCTTACTTCTAATCTACTGGATATTCCTTCCATAATCATAAATGGGTTTGTTATTATTAATGATTTTTATTTAGAAATTCAGAAGGTTGGGAGAAATATATTATTCATGAAACAGATATTTATTATAAATCATGAAATTATATTTACAAAAATTTATTGTATCATACATTACTAAAAATAGTAAAGATCACTCTCAAGATTTACAAAAATCACGTGAACAAACTATCGAGAGTCATTTATTTATTATCTGGCTGGAGGAGTTGTCCGACTTACAGCTTAACAAGAGTTTATATATGTGTCCAACTTATCAAGAAATTTTTAAAATATATATATAAAAAAAGGGCTGAAAATTTTTGTCCAAATCTGACTTATCAAGTTTTATCTGTGTAATAGTAATGATTTATTTAAAGCTAAATCAATATCATTTTGTAGTTATGTGATTTCCACTTTTGATACTAGGTCATCATAATTATAGTTGCGGACAGTTACAGGCAGTGTTGTACATGGGACATGTCCGCCTAATATTGAGCGGACATGGACACTGTCCAAAAATGTCCGCGTAACAGTTTGTCATGCGGACGTATCCGCTCATTTTCTTAAATGTCCCGGACTGTCCAGGACCAGTAGTACAAACCACAAGTTAAACGTGAGAAAATGCCTTTACCACCTTTATTAGCTAACATATTATTAAAACAATATAAAGCAATTCAAAAACGTTTTGTAAACATGCGTTGAAAAATTAGGAGAGGAGGAAGTAAGAAAGCAAAGGTTTAATTTTTGGTTTTGTTAAGTGTAAATGTTTTTGTTTAATTTTTTGTTAATTGACCACCTATACAAGTCATTATCACATATTGAATTATTTTATTGTAAAGTAATTGTTGCAAACATACAGCTGACTTCAATTGGCCAAAGAAAGTAAAAGTAAAGCAAATAAAAGGAACTCTACAGGAGCTTTATTGCTTTGTTAATTGTACCATAAAGTGTTTACAGATTCACCAAAGTTTTAAGAGAGAGGTAGTAGGCAAAAATTTGTATTTTTGTCCAAGAATGGTCCGGGACATTTAAAGTGACGGACCGGACAGTCCGTGTCCATGTCCGCGTCCGCTGACAACACTGGTTACAAGTGTTACAAAGATTGCAGATGGGTTGCAAAAAAGGTTGCAACTCGAGCTTTAAAATCTGCAGTTGCAAAAAATGTGAAACCGATACAGAAACAGACACCAACTTTAATTCAGAGCTTCAATCAGGATTTGGTACTTAACTTCAATAAAGTATTTTGGAGGATGATATCATCCAATACATATTTAGATGGAATTTTATCTCCTTTACAAGCATCCAATATCTTTCGTGATTTAATTCCTACAATTTCTGCTTCTTTCTATTTCTTTGGGTCATTACCCGATGTGGAAGGATGGAATACACTACCAACGCCATTAAAAATTTTTTTAATATTAACGTTGAGATAAATTTATGAATTAGCCAATCAAAATAAATTTATGATAGCCAATAGATTCAAATCGTAATTTTATTTGTTGGTTCAAAAATCCCGAGATTCGATAATATTAAATAAATGAATATGGTATGAAAAAGGCAATTAATTTAATAAGTATATATGTCGCTCATTTATAATAATAAGAGATTTTTAATTATATGATTTACAAATTTTAAGAAGGTGTTACCATCTTACCCCATTCACATAATTTATATATATGTATGTGTATGTTGTATGTATTAGTGTATGTAAAATTATAGTTAAATTCGAAAAAATTTTTTTTTAATATTCATACTTTTAAGAGATCAGATCAATTGATCAAAATTTAAATTTATAATGGTAGCGGTAAGCTTGACCGTTATATCCTTTTGTTAATAATTAATTGTTTACGCATTGAATTAAAAATAATAACTCAGAAGAAATTTCTTTCGCTTTTTGTTAAAGTAGACACACCTTCCTTCTTATAGAATCAGATCAATCGGTGTAGGAGGGATACCACGAAAACTTCATCTTCCGCTTGTTTTTCTAAGAGGACTTAGTCTAGTTCCTGCTAGCTATGGTCTTTTTTCATTGATTTCAGCTATTAATAACATTGCAGAGCGAGATGCTGGTGGTGTCTTGGAACTCAGAAGTACCAAATTAGACTATTTGTTGGGTGCGTTATGGGTAATTATTTAAAAGAGGGTTTTAAAATCAATTTTCAAATATTACCTAACAATTTAATTTTCTTTTAGTGTTTTGTTTCTGGTATTTGGAGTTATTGGTTAGCTGATGGGCTAATGCGTAGATGGCTTTTTTATTATGAAGTCAGTAGTGCAATCATTCGACTAATTTCATTACAAGCAATAAATTGGGTTATAACAGCATTAGTCGTTTCACATTATGGACCTGATGAGCCAACATGGTCGTGGGTAATATGTGGTATCGTGCTGGCAGTTAGTAATATTATTCAGTGGTTATTTACATCCACTGCAAAATTTCAAAAGGCCAATGATGCAGACTCAACAAGAGTAACGACCTGGAAAGAGATATTTAAATATATAATGATTCCACTTGCAATCACCTCGTTTATCACAATGGTTTTTCTATTGGAACAACAATCAAGTTTTAGATACCATTCTAATCTTGGTCGCACTGGTCGCACTGGTTATAAATTGAACACCAACTTGACACTTAGTGAAACTCGTTCAGATGCAAATGTTAAAGTGATAATGGTGATATTTTCATCATGGACAGAAAAGAGCTATAGCAAAAGACAAACATTTCGTGAGACTACATTAAAGTTAATACCTCCAAATTCTAATAGAATTTCCATTTCATATCGATTCGTGTTAGGGGATCCACCATCAGCCAATGCACAAATGAATATGGGACATAAAATATTAGCGGAATCTGAAAAATATGGTGATATTGTTATTGTGCCTAGTTCAGATACATACGAGGATCTAAGTCATAAGGTTTATAAAGGACTTGAGTGGACTACAAAATATACTTTTGATTATATGATTAAAACAGATGATGATATGTTTGTACGTATGGATACTGTCGCTAAAGAATTAGAAGACTTGGGGCCTGGTAAAAAATATTATTGGAGAGGTTTGGGATATTGGTAATTTTTTAAAAATTTTATTTGGACCAATTTTCATATATATGTGTGTATGCATATTTATATTTTTATTTATTTATATATACATATTTATTTATTAATCATAGGAATATCCCACCAATTCGTAATTCAAATAATAAAAATTCAGCATTTGATTATAAATTACCAATGTTTCCTCCATTCACAGCTGGAGCTCTTTACATATTATCTCGTGACATATTGTCACTTCTTGTTACTGATGCACCACGTCTTTTTACCAAAAACGAAGATCAAAATCTAGGTATATGGCTCTTCCCATACAATATAAAACCAACCCATGATAAACGTATCCAACAAGCTGACGTCTGTGAAGACGATATGATTGCCAAACATTTTAGTGATTCATATGAACCAGATAGAAGTATGAAAGATATGTACGAGAATGTTATTAATAATAGGAGAATGTGTGAAGGTTTTAGACAAAGGTTTTGTGCATTGTGTTATCCATGTTGGGGCAGAGAAAATCATTGGAGGGATTGGAACTTTGATTGTGATGAGGTCAAAGGTATAACATTGTTGAATCAGCCAGGCTTTGTTATTGAGAATCCGTTATCTGTTGTAGTTTTTGATGATCCAGTCAATGTAACTATTGGTAGTAAAGAGGATGAATGGATTATACCAGGTATTTTGTCACAGCATTCATCAATTTACTCATTAACAGAACAATGGTATTTATTACATTGGATGTGTTGGACAACTGATCCATCCACGTTTCAGGAAAGGCATTATAAAACAATAGAACTCATATGGGTTCATACACCAAAAGCCGTTGTGTTTGTTTTTTCAACAACTTTACCAGAAAATTTTTTTTCAGATTATCAGAAACAAGGATATCAAATTCATGTGATTAGGTTTAGCAAAGAATTTTTATTGGAAAAACAATGGTTTCTTGGGCAAAATTCCAAGGATTGGTTACTTGATTGGAATAAATGGGAAGCGTCGCCATTTTTCTTTTCACATCTTACGGATTATATGAGATATTATCTGCTATATCAATACGGTGGAATGTATATGGACATGGATGCACTTTGGATCAGAGCACCACCCGATACTAAAATTCAATTTATAGGATCGGATGCATCAGATGTTTCATCAGATTTAGAATGGACGCTGGATGCAGATGGAACATATCTTGCACCAGGGGTCATGAGATTTCGCAAAGGATGGAGAATGTTTAAAGATATTGCAGAAAGAGCATTTTCACCAACATACACAACATCATGTTTTAATTGTGTGGGACCTCGTGCTATCACATTGTATGTTAAAGAGCATCGACGAATTTTGGAGAGAAGTGGATTACGTATTCTTCCCGGTAGAATTCTATATCCACACGATTATGTACATATTGATAAATTATTAAAACCAAATCCCACAGCCTCTAAAGAACTACGTAAATTAGAAAAATCATCATGGAGTATTCATTTGTTTGGTAAAATGACAAATGATTTATTGGTAGAAGATGACAGTGTAATTTCATTATTATTTAAGAAATTTTCATTAGATATACCGCATCCGCCAGCACTTTTAACATCTAAAGGTAAATTAGATTATAAAAATAGGAAATTGGGATACGAGTTTCAATTGGAAGGCCCAAAAAAATATAGATTTGTTTCAGCGGTTGCTATTGAAGAGGTTGATAAATATGTAGGATCAGTTAATGGACAATTTCAAGGATTAGATTTGATTTTTATTCGTGGTGGATCAGCTAAAGCAAGTAAAGGTACTATAGTTGCCAAAGCAAAGGAAGGAAAATTATCATTTAGTCATCATGGGGGAGAATGGAGTGAAACATCAATTATGGTTAATTATCCAACCAAAAAAGACATTAATGCAATATTAAATTCATTATTATATAAGCCTAGTGAAGAATTACAAAAAAAGGGAGGGAAAGATAGTATTAAAGTTGAAGTTACATATGACGAAGAACATGGAGGATTGGATATTGAAGTTGTTGTACCAGTACCACGCCATTTGGATAGTGGTAATATAAATGGTGAAATTTAAAGATAAAAATTTTGGTTCCCGTATAACAAAAAAAAATAAGGAAAGAGTGATGGTTATCATATTTATTATTTATTTATTAGTCATTGTATTTATTTTATATAAAACAATTTTCTTATTTAATTTAAAAGACGATTTTTGTATAGAATTTAATTTTTTCTGGTATCTATGATAAATATAAATTTTCTATTAGATTAATATTAATAATATCAAAATTTTCCTATCATTATAAGAGGGGAGGTATATTAGATGAATTTAATAAAATTTACAATTTAATATCAAAAAAACCTTTGTCTACTATCAATAATTATTTAGAAGATGATGCAGAAGCTGCTGCTGCAGTAGGAGTACTTTGAACAATCTTTACTTGCATTATGTCAAGAATTACTAATAATTTATGACAAAGAATTTGTCAATAAAAATAATTATCAATTTAAACCTTCCTAATAATACTAATATAAATAAGTTGATTACTTACTTTTTAAATTATTTTGTTTACTATTGATTGTTTTTTCCAATTTATCTAAATTTTCTTTGACATAATTTACTTTTTCCACATAAAATTTAATTGCATCTCCATAAGACTATTATTATTCATTATTAATTTGATTTAATACAAATTCTTCTTATTATCTATTTTAATAATATCCATTAATTAATTAATTTATTACCTTTTCAATATAATAACCTGTTCCAACATCAACTATTACTTTCTCTGATTTAACTAATTCTCCTGGAACATAAAGGTGATTGAGAATATGGATTAAGGAAATGTTAATTACTTTTTTTGATATATATCATTATTGTTAGATTAAAAGGATATAGACTCGGTTAATGGCAGAAGAATATCTTTTTCTAAATAAAAAAGAAATCTATTAAAAATCTAATTGATTCTTTTATAAATAATCACTAAAAGGATTCTAAAGATAGATAGATAAATTACCGGTATTTTCTTCTCTAATTGTTTTCACACCATCTATACAATCTTGAAATTTTTTCTGAGCCTTGGTCAATTGAGCAAAAGAACTTGTCAAGTGTGTAAGTTCCTAAATTAATTAATAAACCTTACATGTAAAATAAAAAAGTAAAGCAAAAAAATAAAATAAAAATAAAAAACTAATTTAATTCATTACCTCTTCCAATTGTTTTTTCACTTCAGCCAATTGAGGTAAATCTAAATCAGTCACCTCAATTGTGGTTGGTTTTGGTGAAGAAGAGGTGGATGTTAGCGGTAACGACATTTAAGGAGTTCAAGATTTATAATTGGCAAAATTATTGATTATCTATTTTATTTATTTATCCACATGATTATCATTTAATTATTATAATAAATACTGTTGTTACTGTAGAAATCCAAATCAGAACTTGTTCCCGGGTCTCTTTCAAAAGAAGGAAATGAGAAAAACAAGTAGTAAAATAAACTAGAATGAAAAAATTTCGCTTTCGTTGTAAATTTTTGTTTTGTGCGAACTTTTGGTATAAGGTTAGAAAGTCTGGTTGCGAGGCATTGTGTTTGTAAATCGGCTATGATTTGTAAATGGCTATACAGGCCAGTAAAGAGGTTCGTTGACCAAATAAAAGCTGTGGATTTTTTACAAAATAATGCAAGTTTGAATCGGCTACCATTGTGTAAAACCTTGAATAAACGAGCCATAAAAGAAAATGCAAAAGTTTCGTAGATTCGAAATTCATTAATATGAATTATGAAGGTGATTAGCAATTTTAGAAAATATCTTGGTTTTATTTTACATATTCTCTTTTCTATGACGGATCTTGCTTTATAACTGAGGATTTGAACCCAATTTATATATCCCATATTAATATATAAATCATTGCTTTATAGCGAACATTGTTTCGTAAGCCAAATGAAACTTTTAAGAAATCAATTTTGGAAAAAGTCCCGACAAGTAAAATTGGAAAAAAATCTTCTTTCCATGTAGAATAATAGTTCCATTGCCCTGTCATCATCCAAGCGATAGTGGAAAGGCTTTAATGGTTGTGGTTCCTTTTTTTTAATGTGTGTTAAGTACAAGTTGTATAATTCCTTAAAATCATTTCGAAGAAAATAAATGAATAAATCTGACATTGATCATGGGTGTCTGTTAGATTTAGTAAACTTCTTCTCATGCGATCACAAAATTTTTTTCTACAGGTGAAGGTTTTGTGATGCTGTAGGTTTTGGACAAGCGAGAGGCTTTCAGTCTCTTTGACAACAATACAATTTAAATATTTGAGCCCTGAAGTAATTTTCAATATCTGTAAATTTCCAATAATCAAACGTTACATATTTGCTGTTTTCAATAGTTATGTTGCTTTTTACTTTTGACATTTCTTATAATTTTATTATTATTTAATATTAATAATGATCATGCCAAATAAATATACCAATCATTTATTTATTATTATGATAAATATTAATTATCTATATAATACAGAAGATACAAAAGTATCAAAAAAATGTGAATATTTCATTCATTTATTCAATATTTTGTTGGGCTTCCTTTTGATTCAATTACAGCTTGGACCCTTCAAGGAATGCTGTCTACTAATTTTTGCAAATAATCACGATCAAGATTTACCCATTCATCCATTAGATAAGAAATTAATTCATTTGTATTTTTTGGGGGAGCAATAGTAGTTTGATCTTAAATGCTTTTATTGCACAAGTTAC